TCTCTCTCTCTCTCTCTCTCTCTCTCTCTCTCTCTATGAAAAAATAAATTCTGAGAAAATATTGTTAATATTGACAAAAGACAAACATTTCGTTTATAAAGTAAACACAATTTACAGAGAAATTGAGTTATAAATAATGTTAATATTAATGCGTTAAATTGTTTTTTATCCTAAAACTGTGTTTTTATGTAATGAATAATTGTTTTATTTATTTATAAATTAAATACTAAGTTACTTAGTTATAATTACGTTTTATTTTATATAAATGTTATGCTAACTTAAATGTCATTAAATTATAAGACTTTCAAAAGAAACAATTATATCAAAAATATATTGTAATTAATTATGTTATTTATTTAAATAAATTTTAACATTAATTTAAAATTGTAATTTTATATTATGAGAGAGAGAGAGAGAGAGATTTAAATATTTTGAAATAAATTATTTTTAAGAGAGAGAGAGAGAGAGAGAGAAAGAGATTTAAATATTTTGAAATAAATTATTTTTAGTTAAAAACTGTAACAAAATATTAATATTAAAAATGTGTAAAATAAAAGGCTTAAGCTAAGAGTGTTTAATAAGTATTTCCTGTATGTTCAAGAGTTTAGTACAAATACAGAACAATTGATCTACGGCGAATACATGGATTTCCACAATTAAAAAGTAGGAAATATTTTTATAATATTTTACCATAACAATAATGATAATAATTAAATTAAAATTAGTTCAATGCTTTTAGTGAAGTTAGCAAGTTTAATAATGTGATCGTGACAATTGTATTAATACAAAATAAATCAAATTGTGAGAAAGGAGAGTGAGAGAGAAAGAAAGAGAGAGAGAGAGAAAGAGAGAGAAAGAGAGAGAGAGAGAGAGAGAGAGCTATTTGCCAATGTGCCCAATATTGCAGACATAAATTATAAACACAGACTTATGAAACAATAGTCATTTAAAATAACATTATTTTAACAGTAATTACAATATTTGTTTGGAAAATATAATTTGTTATATAATTTGTAACATAACTAATGTTTGTAATATTTTAATATATACAATAAAGAGTATTAGGAATATATCATAGTAAAATATAAAAATTATTGTCATTATTAATTGTAATTTTAATAATTGTAATCTGCAAAAATTTAATGTAATAAATAAATAAATAAATAATAACTAAATAAGTAAAATCTGCACAAATTTTGACATTTCTGTATTATTTTGTTGATTAAATAAAATAATTTGTTTAACAAATAAATAATTATAAAATAAAACAATACAATAATAATAAAACAAACAAACTATGCAAAATAAAATTCACACTGTTACCTTGATTAATCGCATTATTTGTTATTACACTAGCAATTGTAGGACCAGTTGTTTTCAATACACCAGAAGCTTCATTTGCATTGGTTGCGATCTTGGTACAATTAGCAAAATTAGCCTGGTCATTTATATGTTTATTATTACTACATGTTGTTTTCATCATCTGTTGAGTTAAATCTCTCGGGTATACTAGCCATGCATTGCGACAGTCGGTACAGTCTATGGTCGCCAACCCAATGGAATTAAACGGATTATACCGTAAAAAATTCCCGTAAACTTTCTCATTTAAATGCGCTAGCTTATTACTATACAACAATATTGTTGTATTGCGGTAAATTAAATTAAAAGCACCCGGAGCAATCGACGCGTCTTTTTTACTCAAACTATTATCGCTTAAATTAATAACCAATGGCTTATTATTAACATTTTTATGTAAAACAAATGCCTGATCATCGATATGACGGATATTGTTTAGGTCCAAATGGATTGTGTCCACCGATGGCAGGCCTACGAACGCCCGGCTGTTAATCCGTTTTAAGCCTGTATTTTCATTCAATTTAATTTCCCGTAAATCCGTCAACAAATCAAAACAATTGCCCGGAATTTGTGTCAATTCTGTTGCAATAATCTGCAAATGTGTCAACCCTATCATCGCGCCGATTGAGGGGAACAGTTGGGAGTCAGTGACCGGTGTTTCAGTGATGGTCAGCCGTCGGACACCTCTCTGACCGGCGAACGCATTCCGGCGGACAGTTGTCAACGCTTTTGCCTCTATATGTATGGCATTGAATGAGATGTCGGCGAAGGTATTGTCCGCGAGTTCAGTGATTTTGTTGTGTTTTAAGTCAAACAAATCAAAGTGTTTGTCATCAGCGGATCCGTTGGTCTGTAATTCTTTGCTAAATCTCTCGAAGACATTCTTCAGGTCTAGCGCTGTGTTTCCGCCGCAAACTATATGTGTTTTATTACCGGCTTTTGTGACACATTTACACGGCTTTATTGTGTCCACTGATGGACACACACCACACATGTGTTGACCAATCAGTGATGTTGTTATAAAAAGTGCGATGATAACTTTAAAAAACAAACAAACAATTAATTAAGAATAAATTATTATTTAATATAACAATTAGAATGTATTTATTATAATAATTCACTTACTAATTATTGCCATATGTTGTATATTTTAAAATATATATCAAGCTTGTAATTACCAATAATTAAAATACTATTATTGTAATAATTATATTGTATTGTAATAGTTATATTGTAGTAATAAATCCAAACTATCCGAGCATGATAAACCATAAACACAACTCAACTAGTTGTGAAACCGACTTGTAATAGCACCGGCGTTTAAACACACATAAAATACACTCAAACCTCTATATATACTGAATACACATATACTTTATTACAGAATATTCTGTAATATGTTTTTACAATTAATTGCATGCAATAATAGGGTAAAAAGTATACACCATTTGACTCTATTTATAGTGTTTAAATAAATTATTTACATTATAAGTACTAATATATAATATATAACACGTATATATTATTTATAAAATAAAATAAATACAATATTCAGTACAGACAAAGAGCCCAAACATAAGTAACAAATATTTATTTTTCGCGTTTATATTATAAGTAAAGTATTGTGTATTGAAAGCACTGTTGATATAAGTATAGACCAAAAAACAATTTGTTAAACTAGTTATTTGCTAAATAACTAATATTTATTTTTATAGCATTTATAAAAGTTATAACAATAATATTTATTATTAAAATTACATAGTTTGTATAATTAGTGAAATTATACAATGTTAAACAAGTTTAAGTTATCATTATGCAATAATTCTCAGTAAATTTATATTACATAATGACATAAAGATATGTGCACTGAATAATTTTTGCACTGTACTGTTTTATAAATGCCCTAGCAAGGTTACAATCCACCACTTAACAGCTATATTAGTTGCCAAAATTGCGCCCGTGTATAATTTCAAAGCAAACACTCCCACACAATGCAATACTGAGAAATTCCCACTTGGCTATAATGCAATATACATGTTTGGTATTTAAAAATATTTATAATTAATAAGATTTTGCATTTTAAATGTTGTTGTTATGTTATTATAAATATTTTTATTAAATTTTGACTTAAAACACTCCAATGGTTTCATTTAATGAAATTAATTAATTAAATGCAAGAAATATTCAATTAATAATTACTTGATAAGTAATGCTTCACTAATGCACTACTAATGCTCTCTCTCTCTCTCTTTGTGTTAATTATAAATATGATATG